CTATCCGGAGAGTTTCTTGGTGTAATGGACAGATAACTGTTGCCTAATTGTTCTGACATTCATATGAGTCCATGAGTTTCGAGTTTGGGGTTTGGGGATTGTCTTAAAAGTAACTTTATATTTAATTCGTTCTCGATTCGTGTAATTTAATTTTATTATTATCATTTTGCGGCTTCTGGGTAAATGGTGAGGTGTTTAATTTAAAGAATATAATTTGTCAAGATTGATCTAGCCAAGTCCGTCTTTAACCGTAACTGTAAACTTCTAAAAATGAAAATATTATTATTATATGTACCTTTTAGTAATGTTTGCATTTGAAACTTCAATAACAATTAATTGACCGACAGACATGCCGCTGAGCTCGCGTTTAATTTGGATTGACAATTTCATTGAGTGCACCTGTTGCCCGGACAACGGTACACACATTCATCAAATTATGTCGCCGAAAATATTACGGCCCACGCGTAGCATAAATTCCATTTCATTTAGCTCTTAATTAAATTTGTTTGTCACATTCTGCAACCATGGGTGGCGCGTGGACGAGGAGTGGCACAATTATTGAATGCCGCACGTAAATTAACCCAAAAACGTATTCGTGCATGAAATGCCAAAAATTAACTAAAATTATGCACCTTTGTGCATGGCAGAGCCGGAAAAATGGGAGACAAGTTGGGAAAATAAAACCCACCGAAATGAGCGGCCTTTGAATGGGGACTCTACAGCTCCCTCGCCATCCTCTGTTTTTTTTTAACATAAAACGCTGATTGCAGCAACAACTCCCCTTTTTTTTCCCCAGCGAACGTGACTGAGTTTACACGCAAATAAATACAAATCGCAGTAGGAGCAACTGCAGCAGCCAGGAAAATATAAATTCCTGGCTCTATGGGGTTAAGCAGCTGAACAAAAGTTAACACAAAAAACCCAAAGGAGTAAAAGTGCTGGAAATACAAATATGAAATGTGGCTGCCGAAACAAAAATGCAATTTATTTGCATTACTTTTTCTTTAAAAATAAATGTTAAATGTAATGTAGTAAAACGTTACGAATATTAGGTAACGAGGTTTAAGGTCTTTATTAATTTGTGGTTAAGATTTAATTGAGAAATGAGTGAAATAGTAAGTGCAAAAACAAATAAAATGAATAATATTTTTATTAAATTAATATATCCCCAGTTTACTCTTCGATTACCTGGCATAACGTTAATAAACAAAAAATATAAAGCAAAAAATAACTTTATAGCGACATCAGTGGCCGACAGGTGGCGCTAGTCGGCGAGCAGCAAAACTGAACCGGAAACTCTGCTGACAGCAAAGCCTGTTTGGAATGAAGGGAAGGCACAGCTGCCATCGCGTTATCTGCATTTTGTTTATTTCACTTCACCACCCCCACGAATCCTCTTCCTTTCCATCTCCGCATTATGCATGAAAAATTCTCTCTCGGTTTTGTTGTATTTTTGCAGCTTGTAAACTCAAGGGCGCATGGTGCAATAAGTCGGGATTACTCAAAGAAAAAATAATACAAGCAAAAATATGGCATATTACAGAAAAGCCTGAAGATGGAATTAAATGAATCGAAGACAGAAAGGCCGAGGTGCTCGAACAGTTTTATAAATTTTTTAAATAAGAAAACAAATATTCATAGAAATGATTGAACAATTTTTAGAAAACAAATTATCACTTCGCTCTCTCTCTCTCCATTTATTTGTAATTATTATAAAGGCAATAAGGCCTTTTTTAGCAACCAAAGCACAAATATCCTTTAAAGGTTTACTAACTAAGTGAAATGAATAGCCATTTACATTTATTGGCATAACCCTTTGCGCAGGGATCACGGGTCATTAGGTGCCGCAGTCAAAGGCAGATTTACAGAAAAGCTAAGGCCAAAGCAATTGGTTTCAAGGGTCAAAAGTCCAGCATTAGTGAAAAGCTAATTAATCACAGACGATAGGCTTACAGACGTGCCAGGAAAATGGAGGGAAATGGAGGGAAACGCATGCAAATGTCACATTAGCCTTATATTTTAATTAATTTCTAATCCCCGCTCATCGAAGGCGGCTGCAATTAGATGGCGATGCTTGTGTAGGACTGGCAGGGATTACCAGGATATAGCCATTTGGTCCTCACATTTATCAAACATTGCACACACACACACACAAACACAGGCCCAAGGATATCAATTTGTACATGTGAGCGTTAAGTACGGAATTGGCCCAGCCATCAACTATGAATTAGACATTTGAAATTTAATCGTCAAGTGGTATTTCACGGGGGTAGGGAGGGGCACAAAGCAAAGGAGAGTGGGCAGGATTATCCCATGTACATATATCCCTAATAATCAAACCACAGGATATGAATAGTATGTGTAATGAACTATTTGGAAATGTTTGTAATCAAAGTTTGTGGTAAGGCAAAGCGTTTAAGGGTCTAATAATTATGGGTTTTGGGTTTGGGGTTGAGCAGAAAATTATTTACAGTAGTAGCAAACTAATAATTATTTCAAGTTTATATAAAATGTCCAAACTTAGTTATTACTCTAAATATTTGCACACTATATTTATTATATTTATTTCGATTTTAAATTGTGTCTTTCATATATAATATATATAATTTCTGCTTAACTTATGGACAACTTTTATGTCCTTGAGCGACCTCTCCCTCTAATTTCTGCTTAAGAAATTGTCAGGATTTCAGGCATAATAAATTATTTATTGCCGGGAGGCCGAGATAGATCCTGCATAGATAAATGTGCAAAATGTGTTAACAAACTGCCACGCCCACCGATTCCAGGCACTTTGATTTGTGTGTAGGCCAATTTATCTGCCACAGAAGTTGAGTGCCACGCCCCCAAAAAGCCACCGACGTCGTCGTCGTCGGGGAAGGCATGGCAAGGCAAGGCACTTTACACTCAAATTGTGTTAATTTGCATATTGGAAACTTTTGCCTAATTGAACATAATGCCACTTAATTAAAGTTAAGACAAGTTTTTGACGGTAAAATGGTTTTTGGCCCAAAGGGGCGCAACCGCACGGGGCGGTGCGTCTTGGCAACTAAAAGTATGCCCAACATTTATGGCAGTTTGTTGTTGAAATTTACGGCAATTAGTTTAATATGAGAAGATTATAAGGGACGAAATAAAATCCCTTTCGGCTCTGGGAAATTAATTTTTACGGGGAGGGGCAGGCAGCCAGGCATCCACCCAAAATAAACACGGACACTCGGACATATGGAAATCAATTAGCACTTGAATGTCCTGGCCTTAAAATGCTTAATGGCCCTGTTGGCTAAATGTACATTTGTTAAATATTTATTAACATAAATACTTAGAAAATAAGTAGGATTTCACTTGAAGGCAGTCAATTGAGCATAAGGCTGGGATTAATCTCAGTTAGAAACTCACAATTAAATGTATTTGAAATTCATATTAAAAACAAGAAAGGAAGCTAACTTCGGCACGCCGAAGTTTGTATACCCTTGCAGATTGGTTTTGATGTTTATATTATAGATTTAAATGCTGAAAACACACACAAAACAGAGTTTCATTACATTTTACCTATACTTAATATGTTTACAGTTTGACAGTTACAGTTATACATTCCCAGCTCTACATTTTCTCTACATCTACGGATCGCTTCTATGGCAGCTGTATGATATAGTTGTCCGATTTTCATAAAATTTTTACTAAAATTCTGAAATAATAAAATAAGCTTATATCTAAAAGTAGATAAGAATATGTTGAAAAACTACGAAGTTATAATTTTTTTCCTATTCATTTGCCGATCGTTCCTATGGCAGCTATAAGATATAGTCGTCCGATTTTCATAAAATTTTTACCAAAATTCTGGAATAATATAAAATGGCTATGCCTCAAAAATGATGCAAAAATATTGAAAAACAGCCAAGTTATATTATTTTTTCTAAAAATTTATCGAACATTTGTATGGGAGCTATATGATATAGTCGTCCGATCCGACCCGTTCCGACATATATAGCAGTGAGAGTATATAGAAGACTATATGCAAAGTTTCATTCAGATAGCTTTAAAACTGAGGGACTAGTTTGCGTAGAAACGGACAGACGGACGGACGGACAGACGGACAGACGGACAGACGGACAGACGGACATGGCTAGATCGACTTGGCTGTTGATGCTGATCAAGTATATATATACTTTATAGGGTCGGAAACGTCTCCTTCACTGCGTTGCAAACTTCTGACTGAAATTATAATACCCTGCAAGGGTATAATAATAATAGCAATCTTTTTGGGAATAAAGTTTAAATAATTCAATTATTTGGTACAAAGCTGGTTTTTAGTTATAATGAAAATATATTGCCATACATTAAGGAGTGTTTTATAATGTTATATTCATTTTGAATAGAAAAGAGCTAACCTGTAATCTATTTAATGTTTAAAAATTAGTTAAGAAGAAGAGTTTTTTTTAAAGAAAGAGAAGAAAAATAAGAAATTATTGTCTCCTGTCTATTTTTAGATTTTCCGTAGTTTTATCTTTATTTAGTTCTTATCTCTCCATAATAAAATAATTACAAACTCTTGTGAAATAAAAATCAATTAACAAATAATCCATATTTTTATTATATTCATGGACAATTTTACGTTTTAAAACCTGTGAGATGCTTAACCTTTGACCTTCACGGACAATGTGTTGTAATCAAAACCGAAATAAAAGATTTCCCTTTGTTGGCAACATAAACTAACGAGATTATCTCCAAGATAAACTACGTCAGTCAGGTGAGAAAAGTTCCGCGACTTTTATCACTCAGTGCGAGGCACTTAAAAATGGACCAGATCAAGTTGAAAAGCGGAACCCAACGGACGCATTTATCTCGATATCTTTCAATGGAAATTTTTTTATTTCTTAAATTATAAAATTACAATTTCATTGGAATTTGTTTAAAAAAAGTATATTCCTTACAAAAAGTGCTTCTAATTGTTTAGAAAAAAAGTGTTTAAGTTATATGTACAATTCAATAATAAAAAAAAAAACTAATAAATAAATCATGCAGGCTAATAAATTGCCACAAAATCCTCGCGAATCAGCAGGAATATTTTCATCACTGATGTTTTGGTAAGTTCTTCATAAAATTACCATTTACAATTAAAAGTTTGATGTTACATGTAATTATGCAAATAAAAGTGAGTCCGCTATCAGTAGATAACCAGTGCTCAAAGATCACGTCTGTGGCTTCTCTTTATCGTGTTTTGGATAAACAATTACAGTAGAGAGCGTTGATGCTTAACTTTTATGAAAATATTTGGTTTATTTTGACTGATTCCTTATCATTTCATTCACAGCTTTGCCTTGCCCATTCTCTTCAAGGGCAGAAAGAAAACCCTGGAACCCACGGATCTCTATCAGGCTCTGAAAGGACACAAAGCTGATAGCTTGGGCGATAAATTTTTCGAGACCTGGCAGGCTGAAGTCAACTCATGCCGGAAAAATCCCAAAAAAGAACCAAGCATTATAAAGGTTATATTAAAGGTATTTGGTTGGCAGCTATTGATATCGGGTTTGATTATTGCTGTGCTGGAATTGGGAACGAGGTAAGTTACATAGTTGCTCAATATAATAAAAAAAAAGTATAGTAGAGATAATAAGAAATTTCAATACATTTGAACCGAAGGCCTATATACTATTAATCCATATATGTGTGAGATCAATCGATTTTCCTAATGAAATATATTTAAAAATTCTTTAAATTTATTTACAGAGGCACCTTTCCCCTGCTTCTGGGTGCTTTAATAGCCGAGTTTACCAAAAATGGCAATGGCGATGGAATCAAGGCTCAAATTTATGGGATTACCTTGATCCTAACTACTTTAGCTGGAGTCGTGTTGTTTCATCCATTTATGATGGGAATGATGGTGAGTTTAAGTGATATTAGTACTTCGCCTAATTAATAAGAATATAATTTTCCACAGCACCTGGCCATGAAAATGAGAGTGGCCGTAAGTACGGCCATTTACCGGAAAGCTCTCCGGCTGAGCCGCACTGCTCTGGGAGACACAACCACGGGTCAGGTGGTTAATCTTTTATCCAACGATCTAGGACGCTTCGATCGGGCCCTAATTCACTTTCACTTCCTTTGGTTGGGACCGCTGGAGCTGCTCATATCCTCGTATTTCCTCTACCAACATATTGGAGTAGCATCGCTGTACGGCATTGGAATATTATTGCTCTATCTGCCAATTCAGACCTATCTCAGTCGGCTCACTTCCAAGCTAAGATTGCAAACGGCTCTGAGAACTGATCAGCGTGTGAGGATGATGAACGAGATTATATCTGGAATACAGGTGATAAAGATGTACACCTGGGAGAAGCCATTCGGAAGGCTGATCGGACAGCTGCGCCGCAGTGAGATGAGCTCCATTCGCAAGGTGAACTATATCAGGGGGACGCTTTTGTCCTTTGAAATCACTCTGGGAAGAATTGCGATATTTGTGAGCCTCCTTGGATTCGTCCTAATGGGCGGCGAATTGACAGCGGAGAGAGCCTTCTCGGTGACAGCTTTCTACAATATCCTGCGGCGCACGGTGAGCAAGTTCTTTCCCAGCGGCATGTCACAATTCGCCGAGATGCTGGTTACCCTGAGGAGAATCAAGGCTTTTATGATGCGCGATGAAGCGGGCGTTCTGTCCCTCGAGGGCGGTGAAAAAACAAAACATTTGGATACAAATTCAGATCCTGTTGTGGAATTGGAGTCCTTTAAAGCGCGCTGGAATCGAGAGCACATTGAACCCGTCTTGGATAATATCAACATCAGTCTAAAACCTCCGCAATTAGTGGCAGTCATAGGACCCGTAGGCTCTGGTAAATCCAGCCTGATACAAGCCATTCTGGGAGAACTTCCCCGCGAATCTGGAAAGCTTAATGTACGGGGAAAAGTGTCCTATGCTTCCCAAGAACCCTGGCTCTTCAATGCCTCCGTTCGCGACAATATCCTCTTTGGCTTGCCCATGGATAAGCATCGCTACCGTAATGTTATAAGGAAATGTGCCCTGGAAAGGGACTTTGAACTGCTCCAGGGAGATCACACTTTGGTGGGTGAACGAGGTGCCTCCCTCTCTGGAGGTCAGAGAGCTAGGATTAGTCTAGCCAGAGCAGTTTATCGCCAGGCAGACATATATCTTCTCGATGATCCCCTGAGCGCTGTGGATACCCATGTCGGTCGTCACCTGTTTGAGGAGTGCATGCGGGGTTTCCTTCGAGATAAACTGGTGGTCCTGGTAACCCATCAACTTCAGTTCCTGGAGCATGCCGATCTCATAGTGATCATGGATAAGGGAAAAGTAACAGCCGTTGGCACCTACGAAGAGATGCTGAAGAGTGGCCAGGACTTTGCCCAACTTCTGGCTCAGCAAACCCACGAAGAAAACGAAGATCTTGTACAAGATCAGGATATGGATGAGGCCAAGGGGGATAAATCTAATTACTCGCGACAAAGCAGCCGTCAGAGTAGAGTTAGTGTCGGCTCTGTGGATTCTGGCAAGGATTCTGTAATCGAGGATGAGATGCGACCTGTGCAGGAGGCCCGTTCCACGGGGAAAATCGGCTTAAGCATGTATGGGAAATATTTTTCATCTGGCTCTGGATGGTTCCTCGTGGTCCTGGTGGCTTTCTTTTGCCTGGGCACCCAACTTCTGGCTTCTGGCGGGGATTACTTTCTGTCCTACTGGTAGGTACTCATTTTTCTGGGATATTATTTAATTAAATTGCAATTTGTACTTTTAGGGTGAAGAACAACAACTCCTCTTCATCGTTGGACATTTATATCTTCAGTGGTATCAACATAGCCCTGGTAATCTTCGCTCTCTTGCGAACCCTTTTGTTCTTCAGCATGGCCATGCATTCCTCAACTCGGTTGCACAACTCGATGTTCCATGGCGTATCCCGGACGGCCCTCTACTTCTTTCACTCAAATCCATCGGGAAGGATTCTAAATCGTTTTGCCATGGATCTGGGACAAGTAGATGAAGTCCTACCCGCCGTCATGCTGGATTGCATCCAAATATTCTTGACATTCACCGGCGTTATCTGTGTGCTATGCATCACGAATCCTTGGTATTTAATCAACACAACAACGATGTTCGTGGCCTTTCATTTCCTGCGGAAGTTCTATCTGAGCACCTCGCGGGATGTGAAGAGATTGGAGGCGGTGGCCAGATCGCCTATGTACTCGCACTTTAGCGCCACCTTGAATGGCCTGCCCACGATTAGAGCTTTGGGTGCCCAGGAGTTGCTGACAAGGGAATATGATAACTACCAGGATCTGCACAGCTCGGGATACTACACCTTTCTCTCCACAAGTCGCGCTTTCGGTTACTATCTGGATCTGTTTTGTGTGGCCTATGTGATATCGGTGACCCTGATGAGCTACTTTAATCCCCCTTTGGATAATCCAGGACAAATTGGATTGGCCATCACTCAAGCTATGTCCATGACTGGCAGTGTACAGTGGGGAATGCGTCAATCGGCAGAGTTGGAAAACTCAATGACTTCTGTCGAAAGGGTCCTGGAATATAGGGACCTTGAGGCAGAGGGAGAATTCGAGTCTCCAGAGGACCAAAAACCCCCGAAAAACTGGCCTCAAAAAGGAGAAATTAAAGCGGAAGAACTTAGTCTGCGATATAGCCCGGATCCCAAAACGGATAATGTGTTGAGATCCCTAAAGTTCGTCATCCAACCTCGTGAGAAAGTGGGAATCGTGGGAAGAACGGGTGCAGGCAAATCCTCCCTTATAAATGCCCTATTCCGACTCTCCTACAACGATGGATCCCTGGTGATAGATAATCAAGATATAGCCGCAATCGGTCTCCACGATCTGCGAAGCAAGATCTCCATAATACCCCAAGAACCGGTACTATTCTCGGGCACAATGCGCTATAATCTCGATCCCTTTGAACAGTATTCCGATGACAAGTTGTGGGAGGCCCTTGAGGAGGTAAGTTTATAACAAATTAATAAATTATAAATTAACTAAAATTTCCCTTCTCCAGGTTCACCTCAAAGAGGAAGTTTCCGAACTACCCACGGGTCTCCAAAGCATGATTTCTGAAGGTGGGGCTAACTACAGCGTTGGCCAGCGGCAGTTGGTCTGCCTGGCCCGTGCCATTCTCCGGGAGAATCGCATCCTGGTGATGGACGAGGCAACGGCAAATGTGGATCCGCAAACGGATGCCTTGATACAGTCCACTATTCGAAGGAAATTCAGGGATTGCACCGTCCTGACCATTGCCCATCGGTTGAATACAATCATAGATTCTGATAAGGTAATGGTTCTAGATGCGGGCAATCTGGTGGAGTTTGGTTCTCCCTACGAACTCCTCACGCAGTCCAGGCGGCAGATCTTTTATGGAATGGTCTTGGAGACGGGTCGTTCCAGTTTCGAGCACCTCTTGAAAGTAGCTCAACAGGTAAATGAATAAAGAGTAATTTATATTATATATTTATCCTTATTTATTTATTATTTTACAGGTTAACGAGACGAAGTTGCGCAGCAAATCGGAGTGAACGAAAAACAAAGTAAAAACCCTTAAAAAAGATTTCAAAAATTATAAACAACCTAATTTACATTTATATATCAAACATGTAACCATATTAAATATAAAAATCTATTAAAATTAGTATATTTAAGCCTTTTGGAGTATAATATATAAGTTTTTACAAATAAATTAAGTTTTATTAATTTCCAAATAAATACTTTCAATATTTGAATTTAGCGCTCTAAAAATACAAGTGTCCGCTGATTAAAAAATACCAAACCTAGTTATCGTAATCGCAATCGATTGTTCAAATGTTTGTAAACAAAATTCTTGATGCGCACAAAAATTGTTAATGTTTCAATAAATCAGTTAAAATGGCCAAAAATGTCAAGAAATTAAGCTTGGCCAACAAATTGGCTAAAAAGGGAGATGTCATTAAGCCCACAGAAATAATTGGTAGACACAACCGAGCTGATAATGTGCGGGTAAGTTGTAAAATAGACTCAAAATGGCTCATAGTTAACACTTTTACGACTTTTAAGGATATTGAAGATCTGGTGGGGACTTCGGGGTCAAGTAATTCGATTTACTTTTCACCCCTTCAAACCCGCAAACAGCGGGGAACTCTAAAGAATATTAATATTAAATCGGAACCCTTGACCCCCACACGGGTTGTGCCCAAAAAGATCAAAAATGAGGTTCAGGATGAGCTGCAATCCAAAATTTTAATGGGCTCAGTCATGGTAGTTAAGTGCAAGGTGGTGCCAGATGCCCTGAATTCCTCCATAAGGATTGATCGGATCAAGAAGGAATTGGAAACAGAATTCAAACAGGAGCCCAAACAAGAGATTTTGCAAAATATTAAAAAAGAAATTAAGCCTCAAAAGGAACCACTTTTGTTTCTGGGTGTGGAGGCCCCTCATCCCTTGTGGCAAAGTCACCTGGAAAACATTCGCACAATGAGAAACCGTCAGCCAGCGCCTGTGGACACAATGGGCTGTCATCGCTGTGCGGATCCCACGGCAGATCCAAAGGTATATCCGTGAAATTTAATAAAATCAATCAAATAAAACCAGAATTCCATTATCTTACAGACTCAACGCTTCCAGAACTTGGTGGCTTTAATGCTGTCCAGTCAGACCAAAGATCAAACCACTTTCGAGGCCATGAACCGCCTCAAGGAACGCACTCTCACTACCATTACTATTAAGGAAATGCCAGTAACAGAACTGGAGAATCTACTGCATCCCGTATCCTTTTACAAGAACAAAGCCAAGTACCTCAAGCAGACAGTGGAGATCCTCATAGATAAATACGATTCCGACATACCGGACAATCCCAAGGACCTCATAGCTCTTCCAGGAGTTGGCCCTAAGATGGCCCACATCTGCATGGCGGTTGCCTGGAATAAAGTCACGGGCATCGGAGTGGATGTCCATGTCCACCGCCTTTCGAACCGTTTGGGCTGGGTCCTACAGCCTACCAAGGAGCCGGAACAAACCAGGATCGGGCTGGAAAAGTGGCTGCCCCACAGCCTCTGGTCGGAGGTGAATCATTTATTTGTGGGATTTGGTCAAACCATTTGCACTCCACTGAAGCCCAACTGCGGCGAATGCTTAAACAAGGATATTTGTCCATCGGCCTTCAAGGAAACTAAAGCCAAGAAAAGTAAAGAGTGATGGAAGAAAAAAACATTAAAGTAAAATAATTTGCATTCAAAAATAGAAGTAAACTGTCCTAATTTATAAACTACAAGGAAAAACTCAGGAGTAAAATATTTCTATAGGGGCTAGAAGTCCAAAATACAGTTTAAGAAATAATGTATAAGGCCGATGAAATACAAAATTAATGAAGAATAAAAAAAAATTTATTGAGTTTCTTTAAAAAAAACAAATATATATTAAAAAAAAATACAGAACTTAAGGTTTGGGTTAACTATGAAATAATTTACATTTAATTGTTAATATATTTATTTAATTATAAAAAATCTATAAATAAACATTTACAGTATTTTATATAAAATATTCAATACGTAAAAATACGGTAGATTTTAAAATACCAAATACCATAAAAACCACTTGGTATTTTAATGCAAGTAGAATACGGTCGTACTATTATAATATATTTGGCGCGTTTTGTTTTTTATTTGCGGCGTCTTGTAAAATTAACCAAAAACTCCATTCCCAAGCAACAAACTGCTACAAAATGAATGATTCGTGTAAGTAATTGGTGTTACTATTGTCCAATCCTAAAAGCTACTACTGAAATTCCTTTTTAGTTGGAGATTTCAATGCCACTCAAACGGCGTCGACTGGGGCCGCCAGCAACCAAAAGGGAGAGGTGCGTACATAAACAAATAATCTTAACAAATGCAAAACTAACCATCTTTATCATGCTTAGGGCATTATACCGCTGGTGATTAAGCAGATTGTGGATGCCCCCGAGGGCAATATTGAGATGTTCGGCATGCAGTTCGGCATGGCCAGTGTGGTGGCCATTGTGCGAAACGTGGAGACTTCCTCGACAAAGATAACGTACACCCTGGAGGATCACAGCGGCCGGATTGATGCCCACTATTGGTTGGAGGAGGGCGACGCTCTCAAGGCACCTGAGGTGATGGTCAACAACTATGTAAAGGTGTATGGCACCACACGGTCGCAGGCGGGCCAGAAAACTCTGATGGTGTTCAAGCTACTGCCTGTACTGGATCCCAACGAGGTAACCACCCACCTGCTGGAGGCTCTCAATGCCCGCTACAAGGCGGAGGACTACCAGAGCAAGGGTGGCGCTGCTGAGGCAGTTTCATCGGGCTCCGGCTCCATGGCCGACTTCACCGCATCGCAGAGCAATGCCATTGTCAGTGGGCTGGATCCCAAGCAGCAGGCAGTCTTCCAAGCCATCAAGAGCAACGTGTCCGAGGAGGGCATTGGTCGCAAGGAGCTTAAGGCCAAGTTTTCGCACATCAGTGATTCCGAGTTGACGTAAGTGGCATATTCTAAGGAGTTTCCCCCGATTTCTAACAGTTGAAAATGTGTTCATATTCTTTTTAGAAACATTCTGGATTTTATGATTTCCGAGGGTCACATTTACTCCAGCATTGATGCAGATCACTTTATTTGCACCATGTAAATCGAATATCAAACCTGCAAAAAAATGTTACTCTTAAAATGCGTATTAAAAAGATTAGTTTTATAAAAAATCGAAGATGCTTAAAAAATTATTTTTAGTTTAACGAAATACAAAAATGTTAAACATGTGAGAGTATATAATACTCTCATTACAAATTGATTTTTAAAACTATTCATTTTTAGTTTCAATTTTAATTTTTAAATTATTTTTTGGTATTTTTTTCCAGCACGCGTTAGCTCCTTTTCGTGCGCTCGCTGCCCTCTATCGCTTTCTCTCTATTGTGCCCTCACTTTCGTTTCTCATTTCGCGGCATTCGGTCGGTTTTCTGTTTTACTCTGCCTTAAAGTCCAATCGGAAGCCGGCTTAACAACAGTCTTATCAATGAATTAATTTAAGTTGAGATTAAGTAGCATATCGAACAAAAACACAAAAACCACCAACAACAATGGCGAACAAACGTAGAAACAACAAAGAAATTCTATCTCTGCTTCTTCTCACCGTCTTATTGGGATTTTTGGGTGAGTTATATTAATATTTAATATTAAATGTGGTTTTTGGCTAAATCAAGGCACTTAAAAAGGAAGTAAAGTAAATAAAGTTGAATGAACTATTTGTTGCTGTGTTTATACACACGCACACGATAAACAACACATTGACATTGCCGCTCCCTCATGGACACAGACACGCACACAAAACAAACCAGAAGAACTTTTAATTGACACACTTTCCAATTGGACCAGCTGATTTCGAACAGTGGGCCGAATAGTTAACAAAGGTGCTAAACATTTGAAGGTCAAGGCTATTTTGTTACATTATTTTAAGACTTTTGTAAAAAATAATAGTACACTATAAAAAAAAAACATTTTAGAATATCGTTATTATAATATTTAAATATATATTAAAAAAGATTAAAAGTAACTCTCTTAAATATTCAATACATTTTCCGTATCTGTATCCACTACTTAGCAATTACCAAACATTTGTTGAGCCAAAAATAGTTTTTATCAGCATTTACTTTAGAAAATATCACAAATACGTGGACTTATATGCATATCTGAAAAGACCTTTATTGTCTATCACCTCATCCCGCTTGCATCTTATCTGCACCGCAGCTGCTGGATCCTCAAACATATTTTACTAATTTCTTTCACATCTGGCGATAACGCCACCCACTGTGCAGGGCCACTTGGTTGATAACCTCGATCCCAGGCCAGGCTAAAAATTGTGGAATCAAATGTGAGCAACGTGCTGCGGCTCTGCTTCTTTCCGGGTGAAAGTTATAGCTATTCGATTGACTAAAGACGTGTCCCATTCTTTCTTCTTTTTCCAGCGGAGGGAAGTTCTCTATTGATTCCCCCGAAAAGTCAACAATTCTTTAAGCTACAAAATGAAGTTAGTCTGGAGGAATTGGGACAAAGGTCGAGTTCTCCACAAACGACTTACAAATTCGAGACGGATCTGGAGATCAATTCTGTTTGGAGTCAGAATAATGATCAATTGCTGGAGATTTTCATCAGCGAGAGTCGAGTGGCTGCCGCAGAAAGGGATCGTTCCATCACGAAGATCCCCGACAGACCCTTCTACATCAGTCTGGTTAATGGACAGCCCCATAAAGTCATAGCCCATACTTCCAAGGATCAATCCCTGCTAAATCTGGAGCGTGGTATCGCTTCCCTTCTGCAGTTGAGGTTGGATGCATCCCAAGAAGAGGAGCTGGACGTTTCTGGGCTGTGTCGTGTGTCCTACAATGTGAAATCCTCAACAAGAGTTGAAAAGACCAAGAGAGACTGTGCTCTGTGGGATCTCAGGGTTACCTATCATCCAGAAGAAGCTCTCGGTGTCAGCCAGCAGTCCCAGGAGCAAGTCTCCTATCAACTCTCTTCAGAGGGATCGCTCATTAAAGCAGAATCTGTGGAGTCTCATCGTCTTAGCTTGGCGGCCAAGCCGGATGTGGGAAGCTTGGTCAAGAGTGTTCTCATCCTTCAACAGAGCGGCCAGGGATCGAGTGATGTCAAGCAGCTGGACCAGGACAGTTTAGAGGCGGCCATTGAGGGTCTGTTGGAATGGTATCGCGTCTTTGAGCTGGAATCCGATGTTGATGGCATAATAAGCGAGTTGAAGGAGCAAACTGTAAGCAAGACTTGGTTTTTCTTGACAGAATTAACCACTTTTCTTCTTCCTTGACAGCTTGAGGAACAACTGAAGGCCTCTTTGGACGAACTGCAGTCTGAGGACGTTGGAAAATCCTCACTGGCATTGGCTTACGTCAAACTCATTCCATTGGCTCGGATTACCAGTCAGGAACGATTTGCAGCTCTGCTTAAAGAGCATTCCAAACTCCTGCCCCAATTAGTGGACCTTTTGGGAGCTGTTCAGACCTTCGATGCCCACAACGCCACCTTTGGCTTCTTATACAAAGAGGCGGACACAACTAACGAGCAACTGGAGCTGCTGGAGAAGTATTTGCAATCTCTGGCAGTGGCCACGCATCCGGAGAGGAAAATCATTGAACATTTATATGGATTACTTCAGTCAGAAGTCGTCGCCAAGAAGCAGGCCAAACTGAGAGATAGCATCATTCAAACTGTAGCCACCTTGACGCGCCAAAGTGGATTCGATGGAAATGATCTTTTGCTGCAGCAAGTGCGGGCATATATCCTGCAGGGCATCACCTCCAAGGAGCCAACATTGTATATCAGGGCTCTGCAAAATCTCCAAGATCCCGTCACCATTGAATCCCTGCTGGAACAGGCCCAGAGTCGCGACGAACCAAGCATATCGGTGGCTGCTCTGCAGGCTCTCAAATCCTTCCCCGTTGGCAGCTTTAATTCCTCGCATCGTCAGCAGTTTGAGGGAATTTTCTATCAGCGAAAACGGAGATTCGACAGCTCTGCACGTACATTGGCCTTGGATGTTATCCTATCGCTGAGGCCCAGTCAGGAGCAGTTGGGCCATCTCCTGGATTATTTGGCCTCCAATGATCGCCAGTTTGAGATAAAAACCTATGTGCTGCAGAAGCTGAGAATGCTTGCCGAAAAGTGTCCAAGATTCCGGGCTTTATTCGAAGCGGAATTGGTCAAGAGGAGACGTGTGAACAACTACAATGTGCTGGGACAGAAGGGTGAGTAAAGTTGTGATCTTTCTTAGAATTCTTCATAATTTTCCGTTTCAAACATTTTCCAGGACTCACCACCGTGCTCACCCGTCAGCTTTCCCTAGCCCCCGCGTTCAACGAGTCGCTCCTAAGTACACAGGAGGTTTATCAGGGCATCCTAAAGCGTGGCTCTGTGGAGTTCCTGCTCCATGCAGGGCGCTTACAGGCCAGCACTTTTAAACTGGGCATCTACACCGCTGGCTTGGGGTCGCTGGTGGGCGATGGCGATGCTGAAGACGGCAACGATGCCATCCCAGCAGATGATGAACTGGGTGGCGAGGAAACCATTACTGCTGGCATGGAAATCAGTGTGCAGGGCTCTCAACTGCGGCCTTTGATCTTTTTCAATGGCCAAACTGAGCTCATGGGTCATGTGTGGGGAGGAACCGCCTCCGATACGACTCCCGCCTATCAGGCCACCACTTTGGCCCAGGATCATGAACGCTACGTAATCCTGGCATCGGGAGCCACGCTTCACTGGCGAGTCCTGGGAGCCAGGAGTGTTGATCTCAATGGCAAAGTGGGTTTCAGCCTGTGGAACCGGAATGCCCAGACGGAGATCCAGCAAAAGTGAGTTGAGGAACTTAGCTTTAACTTTATTTTAATTCAATTTAATATCTGTTATTTCTCAGCACGGGAAGCGCTTTGTTGGGTCATGTGGCCGTGGGCTTCACCTACGCGAAGTTGGTCCAGGACTTTAGCCTTATCCACGAGCCAAAATTAAGTCTGCAGGCAGATTTGGACTTTTATAGTGGCATCAAGCTCTGCATGCAGTTGCAGCGACCGGAGCAGCTGCTAAAGTGAGTTTTTGTGAAATATCTCTGCGTTCTCTCTCAATAATTACATTTTTTCACAGACAAACCAGCACTCGATCCGTTTTCCTACAGTCTGTTGATCGACCCTATGCCAAACATGTGAGCTCCAAGCTCTCTCACAAGACTCCGGGCTGCACTTTTGCCCTCAACCAGAAGAACAACGAAATGTGCAACGTTATTTTTAGCGATTAAGATTCAGAGATTTGCAAAATGCTTCCTTGATATTAAACCCTTAAAAATGTAAACTCAGAGATTAAGACTCGTAGATGTAAAACTCAAAAGAACAAAGACAATCTAATTTTCTATTACACAGCAAAATCTTGTTATTTATTCCCGAAACGTTTATTTTTTGAATTTAGCGGGAAACTTGGATTTTTTAGGGAGTATTTCAACTTATTGAGATTTTAGGGAGAAAGCACGTTTTGGTATTATAGTAATTTTTAGAAATGGTCACACTCTCCGCGGCAAAAAGTAAGAAGAAAACTCGGAAGTAAATAACAATTTGCGAATTTAATAGAAGCGCCAATCGGAACGTGAGTGTACAGCGAAAAGAGACTTAAGTAATAGACATTGTAGAAGAAAGTTAAAGCTGAAACTGCAAAAATAATAATTAGGCCACCAAACGTTGGCCTTCTTCTTGGTGTTTAGAAGAGGAGGCCCGTCGTCTAACACACACACACGCACCCATAGAGTCGCCCAAAATAAATACTCTAATTTAGCAGATTTAAAGCGAGTGCTAATCCGCGACCATAAAACTGTTTACATGCGATTAAATCAATAAATGTGCCATCAGTTGATATCTATGTGCTAAGCGAATAACTAAATAATATAAATTTTGTACACATTTTTCTACAAACAATTGGAGTGCGAGTGAGCGAGAGAGAGAGAGAGAGAGAGAGAGCGCTAGAGTGTTTTTGTTGTTGCAATACGCGACGTGTTCCGTTTATTTTCTAAATTTGTACGTGTATGTGTTTGTGTGTGCGGGAATTTCTGTTGCGTGAAGTTGCAATAAAAGAAACCACGTGTAAAAGTGTTCTGCAATTTTTGTTCACCAGTTAACTGCGAGTGCGGATAATGATAATAAACCCCCCCTTAAGGCCCATATGCTTGGAGTATTTGTTGGACTATTCGATCGAGAAATAAACCTCACAGCAGCTGTCAAAGTCCGTTCAAGTTTGATTTCAGTTTCGCCATTAAATTTAGGCATTACCCGAGGATTTTAACATAAATTAGCCGGCAAAATTAGCATTTGTATTTATCATTATCGCACCCATACACTGACATTTAAGACAGAGTGATAAAGAAAAAGGTAAAAAAGAGAACAATTTCTGCCTCTCTTCTTATTTCAGAGGGATCTCTTTTAATTTCGCCATATAACTAAAATAATAATAATGTATGAAAATACCATTAAATTTAACTATTTTACTTTAACTTGACTAAAATTGTATAAATAATGGAAACAGAACCTAATCCTCTGCAAAACAAACATTTTTTTTTGTCTAGAAAGGCGAAAATAGGTAACTTTTTTTGTGAACTGCACTGTGAAGAGGGGGCCATCTCTTTTCCCACACACACTTGCGCACTTGCTTCTCTCCCAGTTTCCTATTCTCATGTCCCCTGGCACTCTCTCATACTTCTAATAACGGTAACTCGCGTCATTGCTGGGGTTTATATGGTTTTTATTTCACGTTTTCAGAACTTGCAAAGTTCACATCTTCGTCTTGTATTAAAAATATATTTAATTTTAATCAATACTATTTAATGATAACTTGCTTGATCTGCCGTCTCTTTCTACAACAAACCTTAAATTCTCACTGGTTCGACGTCGAACTTAAGACTTCGCACCATGGGCAAAAGACCACAATATCTGGTCAAAACATATTTTTGAATCGTTGAAATTATTTTTTTTTTTAATATTAACATATTTTTGAATCGTCGTTGAATGCGTCGATATATGATGTATATAGAAAAAGCAATTATTTAAATTATTTATTCACTTTCCAAAGAGTAGCCGTTCGGATCGAACATTTAAACACGTTCGTCGAACACATTCTCTCTCGGTTCGGTTCGCAGCAGTGATGCCAATATTTTGTCGAAAAAAAGGACAGATTGAGAAAAAAAACAGGAAAAATAGGATAAAATTATTATAAAACGGATAAAAAAAAAAAGGACAAAAAGTTTGTTTACAGTCATATTATTTTTCATTATTAAGATAATAGTTTTAAGGCATCTTCGAATTTTTTTTTCGGATGAAGCATTAAAAAAGGGCAAATTGGCATCACTGAGTTCGCAGTTGAAAGAAACCTATAAATACGAGTGCAAGGTGCTCATTCGAACAAAAATTTTGAAAATATTTTCTTTGGCACTCTCCGCGCTGCTTGTGTCTTCGGTTCCCTCTAAACAACAAATAAATAAATAAATATGGATAAAAATAAAATAAAATAATACAACTAAACTGCAATTTATACCAAAATTATTGGATAACTTCAAAAAACCTAGCAACTTGCTCGTTTGCTCACTCTTTCGGTATTGCTCTGTGTTTGCGTGTGTGTGTGTGTAAAGGCCAATAAGCCCCCTTCTTGCCCCGCGCCACGCCCCCAGCGGGCAGCAGAATAAATTGGTTGCAAACACAACAACAACAAAATATCCTCTTTTTAGAATTTACCTGTGAAAGTGAAAACGTGACAACACGATAAAAACGAACGAGGCAAGCAAAACAAAAAACGAGTGCATAAAAAACACTCAGCGACGCAAACGAATAAAGGAACAGGAGCAGAAGGCGAGGAAGAAGAACAAGTGCAGCGACAAAAAAGAAAAAACAAATAATCAACGAAGGAAGTGCTTGAAAAAAACAAGAACGAAACAACTGAAACTAAATTGACAGGTAAGAAGAAAACACCCTCCTCTCTCTCTACCTCCTTTTATCTCTTGGTGTCCCTTTGGTTGCACTTTTTCGTGTGTTATCTTTGCCTCATTTTTTCTATGATTCATTCTTTTTTTCTATTGATAACTTTTCGCAATTCACGACGACTAAAGGTTCGATCGAATGATGAATACTTTCCATGATTCATTCTGACTATAAATTGTATTCAAATTCTTTTTTTTCGGGTTCATAAAATCCAGTTAGATTTTATAAGCCTTAAAATACCGTCGTTTTTCTTTTGTTGGTTTCATGTGCTTTTTATACGTAACTGATAAGATAGACCATTCTAACCTTGCACAATTTATGACGGCAGCAAACCATGTTTTTTCGGCTTGATAATGGTCTAAAGAAGAGTTAAAAAATGGTAAAACCTTTTTATTCGGCCCCCTAAATTTATTCTGCGACTGAAGAGCACAGACATTTATACATTTGTGACATTTGCAAAGGGATTATGTTTCCAGTGTATCTTACACTTTTATTTGTGTCCTAAATTTCCAAATTTGTTTGAATGGGGTTACAAAATAATTCATATGTTTTCCAAGTAAGAATTTACTTAAAATTATATTTTTGCTAGCTTTTAAATAAATAATATTCTTTGACCTAGTCTTCTCTGAAGTACATCACTTTTAAGTTTTTCAATATTAAAGTACACGGGGATCTTTCTTCAAATTGTGATTTTTTTTTTTTCATAATTCCCCGAATCCAAATTTAGATAAATGCTTTATGTCTGGCTTTATGGCTTTGTGTGACTCAGTTATTGATAAACACTGCTTTTCACGGGTTTGTCAAGATACAATCGTGATATAGGTTTCTTCACTGATGACTTCAAACATTTGTTTTGGCGAAAACTACCATTATTTATGCCTCTATAAATTACCTAATCTACAGCTTTCTAGCCTTGTTCGCTGAACTTGGACGAAACAGAGCAACAAACATTTGCCAAAAATTCAACCTCTGAACGGGCCCGTTATCTTATCGGTGGGAAAGATTGCCCAAGAAATAACCCACTTAAAAAAATACCAAATATATATATATGTGTATTCATATATGCTGGATACCTTTGACAAAGTTGACTATTTATCTAAATACATTTGACTGGCAATGGACAAATTGTATTTGGGTAAACTGTCTGTCAGCCAGCTCCGTCCAATCGCTCGCTCACGTGAGTTTGACCGATACAAAACGACTTTTCAAATTTGCCTCACAAAATCATAAGAAAAAAAGCTGTCGTGCAATTTTCAGATCCGGCAGACTAGCGGGCCAGTAAAAAAAAGTAAAATAAAACCAAAGCCGACAGACTCGGATTGAGACTCAGACTGGAATCGGAATCAATCGATTTCAATAAGTCAACGTCGCTTTGCATTCGGTCTCACATCCATTCAACCGTCCATCCATCCATTTATCCATATATCGCATATTCAGAGATTTGTGTACGTGCCTGGGCGACGACAACGTGATTTGCCCGGTGATTCACATCGATTATTATTACCAGAGTGCAACTGGCCAGTGTCTCTGTCTATAAGTCTACGAGTCTCATTGAGTCTGTGTCAGTCAGTCGGTCATCCAGTTCGTTGAACTCTGCGCGAAGGGCCTGAACTTTATCGAGAGTAACCAAACGAACTAACCCAGTGGACTGCTCGCCCTGGCAACCCATTTTTAAGGTGGCCATAGGAAAATCAATACTTTTTCGTATTAACCCAAAACCCGCCCTGGAAAAACGCTTGCTGCTGCTGTTGTATTTATTTTTGAGACCGCGAGAATGTTGCATAAACTGGCCGCTCGTTGGCCATAAATCTGGCTGGGTTTTGTCATGGGACCTGGTTTTATGTTAAATTACCAGAAAATTAATTGTTTCTGCTCGCACTTGTCCTCTTTTGTGGGTGATTGTGGTAAGCTAGGTTAGGGTTGTTACTAAAAACCGTGTGTCAAGGTAGGATTTTTATATAATAATAAACAAATACTTGGGTAATTTATTTTATTATTTTTTTTTTCTATATTTAGGTATTTAATACTATTTATATCTCCTTTCCGATCATAAGATAGCCCTTTATAAAAATCCCATTAAAAACTAGGCAGCTTAGTTTTAATATTAATATTTTCATTTTGTTTAAAGTGATACACATTCAAATCTAATTTTGGCACATATCCGTTTTTATCCGTGTGATATCTTTTATTGGACATGATCACCTGATGGCTGAGATCTCCGGGGTAAATTTCACACATCAGACCGCTCCAGTTTATGAGGCCCTCGCCAAATGCAGGCCGAAATTGAAATGGAAACCCACACACTCGTAAATCCTAATCAAATTTATTAAATCAAGTACTGGCCGCGATGTGTTAATGACAGAACAGAGGAGCGAAACAAAAATACGCCCACCAGATGGATTTCCTACACTGGAACAAACAACCGGCGAGCATAAAAAGGCGAGACTAAAATAAACGGGGCACATGAAAGCAATTTTAGCGATATGAACGAGGGCTGCCTCTGTTCCATATATAAATCCTATATAGAGAGAGCGGGCATATGCCGAGATAGCGAACAATCAATTTATGCCCGACTTTGGATATGACTTTGTCGCTCGCTCACTCACTCGCTCGCTCGTTCGGTAATTGTGCGGCATTAATTTGTGCAAGTAATTTCATTGAGCCCGAACCCGATCCCGTTTGTTGACAACCGACCATTGCACGGCCAAAAGCAAAAGCGAAATATTTAACAGATGTCTGTATCTGCTGCCTGTACATACGTTATTAACTCGACTCGGGGTAAACATTTCTACATTTTTCCCATTGATTAAATAACCTTGATTTCGACTGACACCGTGTTGCCGTGCTGTAAACGTTATCCGTGCCGCGATATGTAGTCCGGATAAGCTGTAAATCAATAACCAGATCTGGCTATAACGTTATCAACGTTAACGTGGTTCTAGGTAGGAAGTGTTGGTGGTGTAAGCTAATTGAATGGAATGGTTTGATATTTAATTATATTATTAATACAAATCAAGATCCAATTTTTACTCTAGACTGTATTTTTGCTCTACACTGCATTTGCAACCCATAGTTCAATAATCGTTAAAGAACTCTTTCAAATTGAAAATAATACTCTAAATTTTCTAGTTCATTGTTCGCTTATCCACCAGCCACAACTGAGTGGGATTAATGTGCAAGCTGTCGACGGATCCCCAGGGATTTTTTTATTGTGCTTATCCGCTGCTTTTCCAGTGGGTGGCCACTTTAGCTGGCTGATAACAACCTTAGTTAGTCTCTAGAGCAGAGTGCATTATGGCAATTTATCCGTTGCGACAATAATTTCCATACTTGAGCACCAGAGATGATGCCCCCAGAGACGTTCTCATTGCTCTGGTCGCGTTGTCACTCTTCATTGAGATAAGTTCAATTCGCACAAAAGCCATATAGTTGGGGTCTCACTCGAAAACATCCGGCTCCAGTCTTTTGTATCTGAATCTGCGACAAAGCTCGCGGCAAAACCAGTAAGAACACACGGGGAAAAACGGTGTACGATCCAGGATCAATCCGATTTGGTTTTATATGAAAGTAAACTAAAACTCAGATTACAAGTTTATAAATAATACCTATTGCTTGGAAAGATCATTGATTAAGTTTTCATAATGTTTGAATAGTTTCTTAGTTTCGAAAGTTCTCCGATCAGGATTACTGATTAACAGGACTTTGATTCTTTGATCTTGTATTTCTTTCTGTGCAAAAGAATAACTCGGCTCGACAATGGGCCGTATAGTTTTCCTTTTTTTCGCCCATTGTGCCTGGCATACAGGCGTTTATTTTATTATACACATTTGAATAAAGTGAATTACGTTGAGAGCAGAGCAGACAACGACAAAAAAAGAACATAACAGAAAAGGTCCCAGACGCCAGGTTCAGCAATGTGTGCTGAACTCCGCCCGCCGACGCTTAATTGAATTGAAAACTGAAAAATGAAAATACAAAACAGAAAAGTGAACTCAAACCGGACCGAACCGAAACGAATGAAAGCGAAACAATTCCCCCACAGAACCCAGAAGCAACTAACAGCGGAATTCATGTAGAGCGATTTGCGAAAAATTCTTGAGCTCCGCTTTGTGTTTTTTTGTTTTATTTGTTTGCATTTTTTCCTCCTGTTTTTTTTTTCCTGCTTTTTTTCAGAAGCCTCCGGGTTCCTTTCTGTTTTGCTTGCATATTTTATGTCTGTTGTTTATTATTTTTCCCTGGCTAATTTGAAGCTTTCGATCGTTGAGTGATTGAATTATTTGGTTCTGCCTCTGGGATAATTCAATTTATTTCTGCGTGGGCCGGGGTCGGCACAGATTTGCTTTAATTAATAATTTGTATTTCGTTTGCTGTGATGTGCATGCAAATTGTGATGCTTCCGGAAGTGTCAGTCATGGTCACTAATTATTCAGCATCTGCTTTGCTTTCCCCAACTAAACGAAGCTAAATGAAATTCCCACAGCAGCTAGGTAATAAATTTGAATGTGCTATTTATGAACAGTTGATTGTCTTCAATTTGTTTATGTTCAAAGATAGAACACATGCTTAAAATTATTCGACTCAAGTTTTATAATTTATGTACGGATTTTAGGTGTGTTTAGTAAGTAGATTCAGTTCAAGAGTCACCAAATTTCTCTGCATGTCCTCTGCTCACATGTTGGCACCCTGGTCACCTCTCCCCTAAAGCAATGACAAAGAACCAATTTATATAATTCCTAGAAAACCATTTTAAATTAAATGCCATTATAATGATCTTAACATTGCTGTGTGAAAAATGTAATTATTCCGACATCGAATTAACATAGAATTAACATGGAAACCCTATCCGTGGTTAACAACCCATTCGATTCCATTGAAGTTCATCGGTCTTGACAAGGGAACTTCTCGGAACGAAAAATATTCCATTACACAGTTGCAATTGACGCAAGTCTCTTGCAGCTCAAAAGCCAAGCTTTAGT